CTGTCTTGGGCGACTCTGGGGCCGTCTTGGGGCCCTCTTGGGCCGTCTTGGGGCGCTCTTGGGGGCCTATTGAGCCATCTTGGAACGTTGGACAGCCGACAAGGCTGGAAGGCCAAAATCGGTCGAAAACCTTCGTAAAATTTACGATTTCGGCCTCTGGAAGCGCTCTGGAGAGGCGTCTTGAAGCGTCGTGGAGTGCCTTGGGGCGCCTCTCGGGCCGTCTTGGGCCTATCATGGGCGTTCTGGAGCGGTCTTTCGGCGACTCGGGGCCCGCTTGGGCCGTCTTGGGAGCCTCTGGAGGCCCTCCTGGCCCATGGGGGGTCGGAGGCGGCGGCCTCCGAGGCCCAGGACGCGGAAACCCTGTAAAAACATAGGGAAAATGAGCCCCGGTCCCGCCATGGGGGGTGGAGGCACCTGTTCTGGGGCCCCCGGCCTCGCCCCCAGGGATATATATATATATATATATATATATATATACATATATATATATGTTGTAAATAACAATTTCAAAGCTTTATTTTCAATCCGGCCAGTGCCGCTCTTTCCAAAGCGCTGCTCCAGCTGCAGCGTGGGCCTATGTGTTCGGATCGGTGTTTTGCTCCCGCCGTTTAGAATGGCGCTCTCGCCCCAGCGCAGGCAACTATTCTAAATTCGCCTCCTTCATCATCGTTGCCTCTCCGCTCGCTTCCCGTCCTAGGCCTTCCCCTGGTCCTCCTCTTCCTCCTCCCGCTCCTCCCACTCATGCTCCGGATGATGCTGCTCCTCCTCGTCCTTCTCCTCCTCCTCCTCCTTCTCCTCCATCCTTCTCCTCTTCCTCCTGCTCATCCCCCACCTCATCCGCCGCCTTCCCGTCCAGTGCACGCAGCTCCCCCCTCTGTCGGATTGCGCATGACACGGTGGTGTCTGGTCCGCCACGTTGCCCGTCGGCGGGGCAGGGAGAGCTCGGCGCGGACGGGGGGAGAAGGCATGGGCAGGGCGGCTGCGACGTCAGATCTGGCGCGAGCGCGCCTAGCTTGTCCCTGCCCCCCCCCCTCCCCTCCCCTCCCCTGTCCTCCCCCCAATCCTCGGAAGACAGGTAGCGAACGCTCATGCCGCACTCCTCTGCCAAGGCCCCCCCCCCTCAATGATCAATGCTGGCCAAGCGTTGGGTCCGCAGTTTTCTCCGCGAGGCCCAGCTTTGAGTTAGGGGGGGAGGGGGGGGGAGCGAGCGAGTGTGCCTTGCACCAGACGGCGCGTAGGCAAGGGAAATAAAAAGGCCGTCGCCAATTGCCTTCAGCAGCCGCCCCAAACCAGCACTGCCCAGCTCCCAATCGCGCGCTGCACCGCCCTCAAGGCGGAAGTAGTCAGCCAGGCGACTGCTGGAACCGGCAGCTTCCAGACAATTTTGTAAGACAAGGTGTCTCCATGTCTCCCTTGGGCGTCCTCTTTCTCTCCGGCCAGCTGGTTTGCGAAACTCCAAAGTTCCCGGCTCAAACACCGAGCAGCGAACTGAGCCCGATCCTGGTCTGAGGGCCAGTTGCGCCATGATCAACATCTGTTTTCTGGGAAGGCGCACGCTGAGCTTCTCTTCTTCGGCCATCTGAAGCACAGTCACGTTGGAGATGCGGCTACTGTACGCATGTGGCACTCGACATACTATGCGGAGGCATCGGTTCTGAAAGCTGTCTATGCGTAGCCTCTCCGCCTTGTTCAAACAAGCGGCAATCAATACGTATGTGAAATTGGACAACACGCGAACGTTGAGGATTCGTACTTTCTGTTCCCTGGAGAAATGTGAATGGAACCAAAATATGTGCGACGTCTTAAAATCGTCCGTCGTTGCCCCAAGCCTCCTGTTCAGCTCAGCGCCCCTCTTTCTGTCTGCTGGAAGCGAAACGCCCAAATATACCACAAACGACTTGTTCTCTAACTTCTCACCGACATCATTATTGATAGGGGCATAGGCCGCACGCCCATCAAATCAACTTTCTTCAAATTGAGCTGTAAGCCGTAATGCATACCACATGCTTCCACGCTGCGCATTAATTCCTGGAGCTCCTGGATTAGGCCAAGGTCGCTGTCGATGACCAGCGTATAGTCCGTGTACACGAGTTCCTAGACGAATCTTTCCTGCGGCACGTTGCCGAGCTTCCACCGCCAATCTACGTGAGCATTTCTGAACAACGTCGCCACGACGATGGTGAACAGAAATGGCGAGAACGGGCACCCTTGGCAGATGCCGCAGGCCTGCTCGTGCGAAGACGACGTGCGCCCGAAGTCTGCCACTCCAGAACTTCGGTCTTTGTAAATGGCCTGGATCATCTGAACAAGCTTTTCTGGGCAGCCAAATCTGCGCAAAGACACTGCGAGTGCATGTGGTGAAACTGAATCGAAAGCCTTCGCCCAGTCTAGCGCTAGAAATATGGTCCGCCCCTCTTTGGCGGCCCACGCATCTTCCAGGATGCGGCAAACCACGAATACTGCATCTACAGTTTCCCTGCCGGATCTGAAGCCGAATTCGGTCTTCCATATCTTGTCTTCGGCGCGCGCGTCTTTGGGACGGCGCAGCAGTATCATTGCAAACACTTTGTGCCCGATGGGCAACCAACTGATAGGGCGGTGGTTGTCGCACTCTGCAAGGTCTCCCATTCTGTGCAGCATGCGCACCCGTGATTTACGTCATTCGTCATTGTCCACTAGAACTGTTTCCCTCTCGTTGTCCACTACCTGGAGAACGGGAGCGTCCACCCAGCAGGCGACGAGGAGGAGGGACGGGGAACGTCCACGAATTGTTTCCCTCTGCCGCCCCTCCCTCCGCGCGACCCGCGCCGCAAGAAACACGGCCGTCCCACGTCGCTCTCTCGCGCGCGGACCCCCGCGGAGAACTGGGAGGAGGAGGAGGAGGAGGAGGAGGAGGAGGAGGAGGAGGAGGAGGAGGACGAGGAGGAGGAGGAGGAGGAGGAGGAGGAGGAGGAGGAGGAGGACGAGGAGGAGGAGGAGGAGGAGCGTCCACTAATTGTTTCCCTCTGCCGATCCCTCCCTCCGCGCGCCGCGCCACGCGAAGCACGGCCGTCCCCTGGCGCTCCCTCGCGCGCGGCCCCCCGCGGAAGGAGGGGTCGCTCCGCGCCTCCGGGCCTGGCCGTGCGCGAGGCAGCGCGCTCAATTTCGCGCCCTGCGGGCGCGAGCTCGGGTCCCGGCACGCCTGCGCAGACCAGATCCCCTCGCGCTGCGAGCGAATTCCGTCGGGCATCGTTTTTGTGTCTGGCTCTGTTGTGGACCGCGCTCTCGCCTCAGACTTCCTTGCCATCCCCTCTCGCCAGGCCCTCTTGCCAATCCCTCTCGTCCTCCATCGTATCCCTCTCTCTTGCCCCTTTTCCTTCTCCCTCCCTTCCCCCACTCACCTCCTCCTCGCTCTGTCCCTCTTCTACTCTTTATGCTCATCCTGTTTTAAGGGCTGCGCCACTTTCGTGTGGCAAGGAGAGGAGATACACTCCCCAAAGGGGGTACGATCAAAGACGACGATGGCGGCTATCGGGAAGTGGGAATCTACATGTTGATTGACACGCGAGCATACGAGAGCGGAGCGAATAATCTTAAAATGACTTTTGATATCTCATTTCTCATGAGTAAGTATTGTAGATCTCCCCTCCAGGGCTTAATATGTTTTGTCAATTGAAGAGCCTCTCCTGGGACCTGTCTGTTACAAGGGAAAATCTTGAGACTCAGACTGGCCCCTGGGCCCCGAACTACAACAACAGCGGTTACTGCCTGATACTTCCCCACGATTTATTGAAAATCGCGATCTCGCGCGGGAGGTCCTTACAATTTATGAATGAATCGCGCTCTCGCGTAGGACTTCAATTTTATTGAAGCGCCGCGCCTTCGAAACGCAGGAATCACGCTCTCGCTTTGGACTTCCTAGCGGTTTCATTGGAAATCGTGCTATCGCTCGAGGGTTTTTTGCGATTCATGCAAGACTGACGCTTCAGCGAACCGCCCGCTCGACCCAAACGTCTGGGCCCGCCCGTCTGACCCGCCCGTTAGGGTCCGCCCGTCCGACCCGGCCGTCTGGTTCTGCCGCTTGCTTTCCTGCTCCTAACCCTTCCCATTGCTACCTTCTATCCTCGGGCGTGGCCTCTTCCCACCCTGACCATCATGCCTCCCTGGGGACCGCTCAACGATGTGCTGTCAGACGAGCCTGCAGGGTGGTGCCCCTCCTTTCCTGTGCACTTCAGCTTGGGCTTCGACTTCGGCTGTGATGCACTTCGACACGCCTTCGGGCCAGCTCACCCAAGTCGGTTTTCCGCTCGCATGGGTGCGTCCCTCCCTCCCCCTCACTTGGGGGGGGTCCTCCTCCTCGTCTTGCTGCCAATCCTCTGCCACTTCCTCCTCCTCCTCCTCCTCCTCCAACTCCTCCTCCTCCTCCTCCTCCTCCTCCTCCTCCTCCTCCTCCTCCTCCTCCTCCTCCTCCTCCTCCCCCTTCTTCTTCTTCTCCTCCTCTTCCTCCTCCTCCTCCTCCTCTCCTCCTCCTCTCCTCCTCCTCCTCCTCCCTCCTCCTCTCCTCCTCCTCCTCCTCCTCCCCCTCCATCCTCCCCCTCCCCATCCTCCTCCTCGTCTCGTCCTCGTCCTCCTCCTCCTCGTCCTCCTCTCCTCCTCTCTCCTCCTCCTCCTCCTCCTCCTCCCCTCCTCCCCCTCCCTTCTCCTCCTCCTCCTCCTCCTCCTCCTCCTCCTCTTCCTCTTCCTCGTCTCTCCTCCTCCTCCTCTCTCCTCCTCCTCCTCCTCCTCCTCCTCCTCCTCCTCCTCCCCCTCCCCCCTTCCCCTCTCTCTTTCTCCTCCTCCTCCTCCTCCTCCGCCTCCTCCCCTTCCTCCCCCTCCTCGTCCTCCTCCTCCTCCTCCTCCTCCTCCTCCTCCTCCTGCTCCTGCTCCTGCTCCTGCTCCTCCTCCTCCTCCTCCTCCTCCTCCTCCTCCTCCTCCTCCCACTCTCGAGCAAAGAACACGCTTGTTCTGAGATCCGCTGGCTCCTCGCGCTTCGCGTCCAGGTCGAGCCTCGGCACCTCCAAGGAGGTATCGGCGAACAGCTCCTGCCTCCTCTTGCTCAAGACCTCCTGGTCCTTCCGCTGCAGATCCTGGTCGATCGCCAGCCTCTTCAGCTCTTCGGCGACGGCGTGCGCCCTGTCGAGGCTGCCAGCCATGCCCGTCGTGACCTGGATGAGCTGAACGCCGCTCCTCTTGACGGCGACGATGCCGGACCTCAGGCTGACCTCCACCTTGACCGCCTCGCCGGCGAGCTTCCGGCTCTCGAGGCCCGCGTCCACCTTGAGCCTCGGCGGAGGGGGAGGCGCGAGCAGACCCTCCTCCACCAGCAGCTTCCTCAGCGGGTCGGCGGCCCCCACGCCCACCTCGCACCGGCTGGTCAGAAGCCCGAGCCCAGGCAGGCAGATGTCCATGCAGACCATCAGCATCTTCACCCAGGTGTCGCCCAGGTTCCTCACGCCGAGGATGGCCTGCCTGATGGCGTCGTACTTCTCGTTGACGCTGGTCTTCTCGTCGTTCACCAGGGGCCACAAGTGGTTGGCCAAGCCGACTAGGCGCTGTGATCGCAAGACGATGTTGCGGATGAGGTTCGCGTCGTCGTCCTTGAGCAACCGCTCTGGGATGATCAGGAAACAGGCGGTCTGCAACGCCCTGCCAGTGGAAGAGCGGAACTTGGCAATGTCCTTCTCCATCTGGGACTCTGGCGCGAAACTCGCCTCCAGGTCTCGCCAGAATGCCTCTTTTGAGAGGTGCGGCATCTGAACCTCCAAGAATAGATCCATCTTGCAGTGGCAACGGAACAAGAACATGGCAACGAAGCGGTGGTAGTCCGTCCACCACGGCACATTGGCCCCGTGCACGGACTTGACGAGGAAGAGCTCGTGGACGCCTAGGACCGTGTGCCAGGGCACCCACTTCTCGTTGCTACCAAGGTTCCGCAGGGCAAGCCTCTCGTACTCTGGCCAGACCTTCTTCGCCGCCTCGTCCTTTCGGGGCGGACAGGGAAGGGGAGGTAGCACATGGGGGGGGAGTGGCGAATGAGCTCTCGCAACTGGTTTATCTTGCGCCACCCAGCACCGGAGGCGCCCATGTATCGAGGAAGGCGCCCGGCGGCGAGGCCGAAACGGGCTGCATGATGCGGCATGCTTCTCCCCCGCCTCCTCTTCCTCCTCCTCCTCCTCCTCCTCCTCCTCCTCCTCGTCCTCCTCCTCCTCCTCCTCCTCCTCCCCCCCTCTTGTCGGACCCGAGATCCCTGAGCTCAAAGTCCCGCTCCATGTGGTGCCGCGCCTCCATCTTCAGCGAGCACTGGCCGAAGGCGTAGAACAGGCCGATGTCCATGGCTGGCCCGCCTGCGTGCCGTGCGGCGGGGTCCTGCTTCATGGGGGTGGCAACGGCCTGGGGGGGAGGGATCATAGGACAATCAGGAGGAGGAGGAGGAGGAGGAGGAGAAGGAGGAGGAAGGAAGGAAGGAAGGAAGGAAGGAAGGAAGGAAGGCAGGAAGGAAGGAAGGAAGGAGGAGGAGGAGGAGGAGGAGGCGGAGGAGGAGGATGAGGATGAGGATAGGATAAATCTCGAAGAAAGAAAAACGCCATAAACATAAACTTTTTGCGCTCAGCGCAGATGTCTTGGATCCGCGCCAGTCCCCCCTCCCCGGCGCGCGGAGCGCGCCAGGAGCGGCGCCGGAGGCGCCGCCAGGGGGCCCAGCGCGAATTCAAGAAATCCGCGCGGAGCGCGTAAAGTTTATGTTCATGGCCTTTTTTCTTCTTCTTCGAGGTCAATCCTCCTGCTCCTCCTCCTCCTCCTCCTCCTGAACTTCCTCCTGCTGAGTCTGCGACCCCAGCACCTTTGGGACAGCTGGCCGCCGTGTCCACTCGCGACACGGACGCCGGGAACGGTCCGCTGTGAAGGCTGCCCCTGGGACGCCCGAGGCCCTCCCCGAGGCCGAGCCAAGTGCCATCCTGCTGATCTTCCTCCTCCTGATCTTCCTCTCCCCCCCTTGCAATCGGCGATGCATCGCCGACAGGTCGGCGATAGGCCCCCCGACTGGGGTCTCCTTCGGAATTCTGCCCGCGGCGCACTCCTGGCTGGCCTACAGATTGTTGGGCTTCGTGGAGCGCAGGCGTTTTGTCAAACCGCAACACCACAAAATAGCTTGCTCCCCGACATCCAAGAGCAGCATCGCCAGTAGGGACCCTATAAACGTAGGAACAAGAAAGTGGTTTTTGAATGTTCGGCCTCTGGGGACCATGGCCGTCCCCAGGACTGTCAACAAAACGACTAGGAGCAGAAACCCCGTCCTGGGGAATGGGTCTAGACCTCTGGGGGTCGAGGTTTGAAAGAGCGAAGGAGGAACGTACATGGGCAATCAGTTCCAAAAACTGCGGCGCAAGGTGCCCCACCAGACCTCTTGAATTAATATGGAGGGTGCGGCAGTGGAGGGGGGTATGTGGACACAACTACTCGATCCCCAAACCACCACCCATGCTAAACTCAGCATTGATTTCGGGGGCGGGGGGTGATCATAATCGCCCTCGAGTGTGTAAAGTGCTCGGAAATTCGTCCATCTGTTGGTGGACCCCACAACGCCCCCGGGGTCCGGCAACCGGAAAGGCGCTGGGCGTCGGCTCAGGCACGGCCCTCCGCACTGGCCCACACTCTTCGGCAGACGACCACGAGGACCCGAGCACAGAGGGGTGAACGAACGAGGAGATGACAGGGGAGAGGAGGAAGAGGAGGAGGAGGAGGAGGAGGAGGAGGAGGAGGAGAGGAGGAGGAGGAGGAGGAGGAGAGGAGAGAGGAGAGAGGAGGAGGAGGAGGAGAGGAGGAGGAGGAGGAGGAGAGCAGGAGAGAGGAGGAGGAGGAGGAGGAGGAAGGAGGAGGAGGAGGAGGAGGAGGAGGAGGAGGAGGCGGAGGCGGAGGAGGAGGGGAACGTCAGCGTGCTGCACTCTCGCGCCCGCGCGCCGGCAGCCCTGCCTGCGCTGGGCCGGATAGGAAAAAAGCGAGAAGGGTGGGGGGGCAGCAGCGGCAGCAGGCAAGCAGAGAAGCTTTTACGTCGGCGGCTAGGCAGAGTGACTGCGCTGGCGAATAAAGCGAAACGGGGCAACGTTTGGCGCATTCAGCCACCATGCAGGAGGGGGGGGAGGAAAGCAGGCGAAAGGCGAGAAGTGGAGGCGAAGGCGGGTGCGGCGGCAGGCGCGGGCGCGCCAGGAGCGGCGCGGCAGCTGCAGCGCTGCAGCTGCTGGCGACGATGACCATGGGATGGGGGGCCCGATGGCGAAGCCGCACGTTCTTGGACCCACGCCCCGATTGGCGAGGAATGGGTGATTGGGGCTCGATGCGTTCCCCCCCTGAGCCAGTCCCCCCTGAAGTTGCCGCCCCTGACCTTCAACTCAATGGCTGTCGGGCCAGAGCTAGGAGCCTCCAGCGGCCGTTCGGGGCGACCCTGGCCCCCCAGGAACGCTCTCGACGAGGCGCAGCTGATGGAAATCACCTCGGCATCGAAAACCTTACAAAAATTGTCGAAAACTTTCGAGCATCCCCCCTTCGGCTATCCGTAAGAGTGACCCTAAGCAACACCGACCTTTGGTGCGCGACTTTCGGGGGCCGCAGGGAGGCCCAACCCGACCGCGCAAGACGCCGCTATCGCATCGCGTTCAATCATCTGGGGACCTCAATGTGCCCGCACCAACGGTCACTCCGGCGAAAGGCCACTCTTACGTGTGGCCGACCCCTGAGCTCGTCCCCCCGGTCGGCGCCGCTGGCCTGGACCTGCCGCTTGGACACCTCGCTGGCCAGCGCGTCGTGGCCCAACGTTAACTTCTCTGGGGTGCCGGCAACTGCCTCCTGGGCCTGCATCTTCGGGGCCTCGCCGGCCGGCTGGATGCGCGGGTCAGCCCGAGGGGGCGGCTGATGCTCTTTCTACCCCAGGAGTTTTTTGTGTTTGTGTGTGTGTGTGTGTGCGCGTGTTTTGGTTAACGCAGGATTTATACGTATGCATTTTTCTAGGTAGGCAGGTATGTTTTTTTGTTTTTGCTCTCTGTTGGTGTGGGAAGCAAGGAAGCACCGTGTTTTTTGTGTGCTTTTGTTTTGCAGGCCCCAATGCTCGCGCGGGCGTCCCTCCCAGCACCCTGCTCTGCGCCTCCCAGACCAACACGCCAAACATGCACAGTGTTTAATGCCCTCGGTGCAAGGGAACGTTTTTTGGTTTGTTGCTGTGTATGTGTTGTTTTGTTGATTCTTTGTTTTGGGGGCCCAGTGCTCGCCGCGGCCTTCCTCCCAACACCCCTCTCTCAGCCTGCCCCCCCCCAATCGAAACAACCCAACCTACGCAGCGTTTCCTTGCACCGATGGCGCCAAATGCTGTCGATTCTTGGTTGTGGAGGAGGAGGAGGAGGAGGAGGAGGAGGAGGAGGAGGAGGAGGAGGAGGAGGAGGAGGAGGAGGAAGAGGAGGATGAAGAGGAGGAGGAGGAGCGACGGAGGAGGACGTGATGAGATGAGATGAGCAAGCGGCCTAAAGCCAGGCTCCTTCGAGCTGGCCGCGCCCGCTGTCGGAGGCCTCTGGCCCACGGGAGGCCTCCCCGAAGCAACCCGCCAGGGGCTCTTCGGCCCCCTCCCCGGCCTCGTTCTTCAGGAGGCGCGCGCCCCTTGCTCGGATGGCAGGGAGGGCGCTCACCTCCACGCCGAAGGGCCCTCAGCACCCGAGCGCGGGACGACCCCCCCCCCCCAAGGTACTCCCCCCCCCCGACGCCCGTCCACCCCAGAGTCCCGAGCCGAGGAGCTGGAGGCGGAATCGCCGGAGCCACACAGAGCAGCCAGGCGCGCGCGCACCGCATGCGGGACAACCTCGGGGGTCTCCAAGCGAAGGTCCGCCGGGTCAGCTTTAGACATCGGATGCTGGCCAGCCCTGATCAGCCGACGCTGCGCTCTCGGGGCCGGAGCCGCGTGCCCTCGGAGACGCGGCCCGAGGAGGGCACGAGCAGGCCGCTCCACGCAGCAGAGAGGGCCCCGCAGGCGCAGCAGGCGCTGATGGCCCTGCCGCCGTCGCGTCCAGCCATGGCGCTCACGCGAGCATGCAGCAACGCGTGCCCGTCGAAGCGGTCGCCTATCTCACGATAGGCCTCGAAGCCTTCGGCGGGGCGGCTGGAGAGGGCAATCCCCCTCGCCCACAGGTGCTGGCAGGGGCACGTCTGGGGCCCGCGAGCGGCGCCGCCGACGGCCGCGCGCAGCCCCGTGACATCGGCGTGGTCCTCGCAAGCCTCCCCGTGCCCCCACCAACGCGTGCAACCGCCCACTCCAACGCCCAGCCTCCCGAGAGGCCTCGACCAGGCCTCGCCAGAGGTGATGCTCACTCTCCTCCGCTCGGTGGAGGGTGGCAACACGCTTCGCAAACTCGTCGGCGACGTCGTCGCCGCACTTCTCCCAAAAGGTAGTGCGATTGTTCAGCGCATCGACCGTGCTGCAGTGGGCCTTGGTCTTGCGGGCCGAGAAGTCGTTGGGCGCGAACGTCGCCCAAACAGGGTGGCGCTTGTCGCCATGTGTTGCTGGATTCTCTGGTTGACTGTTTGAGTGCAAGACTGCTGTCTCTGGCATGCTTCGGCGTGCCAGGGCTCAGTGGTTGAGTACAAACCTGGTTGATCCTGCCAGTAGTCATATGCTTGTCTCAAAGATTAAGCCATGCATGTCTCAGTATAAGCTTCTATACGGCGAAACTGCGAATGGCTCATTAAAACAGTTATAGTTTATTTGATGGTCATAGGGGCCCACAGGTGGGTCCGAGGTTGGAAGCTCCAGCCCGCCAGGAGGAGAAAGAGGACGATGACGAGCAAACGATCAGTGAAGGAGCAAGATGAGCGGATTCAACTAGGAACGGGTGCCGTTCGTTTGCGAAATCTCTTCTGCAATGGTGGTGCTCCCGAGGGCATCCTAAAAAGGGATGCCTCCATCTCCTACCGTTCTTCATCCTCCTCCTCTTCCTCGCCCCTCATCGTTTTCCTCGCTCCTTCCCAGAAGGAATGTTGTGAGAAGAGGGCAGGTCATGGCAAACCGTCTGAAGCCAACTTTGAAATCCACTGCAGGACGTGGAAAACGAGGAGGACGTGGAGGAGGCGGAGGGGGAGGCGGAGGAGAAGGAATACGAATAACATATGCAAGCTTCCCGCCCCAAGTGCCAGAGGATGAGGAGGATGAGGAGAATAAAGAAAAGATGATGAGGAGAGGAGGAAAATGATAATGATGATGAAGATAATGACGAGGAGAGGAGGAAGATAAGAATGAGGAATATGAGGAGGACAAGGATGAGGAGGGTGAGGATGAGGAGGGCGAGGAAGATTCATCAATCGAAAAGGATGAGGAAGATGAGGCAGATGAGGAGGACGAGAGATGAGGAGGAGAGAAGCGAGGAGGAGGGAGCCGGAGGAGGAAGAGGAGCAGGAGGAAGACAATGATGATGAGGATGCCCCCCAGTCCGTCGTTTGGGGTTGCTGGGTGTGTGCGCGTGTGTAAATATAATCATTCCTCTTCGATTCCTGTCTCATGCGGTACCCCCCCACCACATAAATTCGGCCCTTGGGGCTCCCACTGCCCGAGCGGGCCCAAAATCGCTTCTCGGCAGGTCCCCCGGAGCACCGGAACGGCCTAAGACCGCTTCAAGAACAGCCCGGGAAAAGCCCGAGGGCGCCCAAAAGGCCTCGAGGCGGCCCAATACGGCCTCAAGACGGCTCGCGAGGCTTCCCCAGGCGCCCCGAAAGGCTCCCAAGAGGACCCCCGAGAGGGCTTCAGGAGGCAAAAAAACTGATTTGTTATCATTTTTTTTTTTTTTTTTGGATTCCGGCTTTTTCCGGCAAAGAGCGGCCCAAGACGGCTTTGACGGCCCGCGAGATCGCAACAAGACGGCCAAGAGGCCTCCAAAAACGCTTCCAAACGGCCCAAGAGCCCCAAGAGGACCCTCACGAAAGCCCAGAGAGGCCAAACACGTGCAGTTCCGAGGCCTTCAGGAGGCTTGCCAGAAGCCTCCAAGTACACTTGCTCGGATGTTCGGATGCGGTGTTCTGGTGCTCATTTTGTGGACTTCTAATGTTCAAGATTGGGTGTTAGGACTCGGGTGTCCGGGTCAGGGTGCTCGGGTTGGGGTGTTCGGGCTTCGGTGGTTGAGTTCAGGTTGGGATGTCCGGGTTAATGTGTATGCTACGCTGTTAGGGTTCTGGCATTCTGGTTGGGACGTTCGGCCCCACGAGAGCCCCAAGACGCCCCCCGAGAGGGCTCTGGATGTCAAAATTCACAAATTGTCGTATGACGTTTCGGTGCATTTCAACGTGCTTGCTTTTTCCAGGACGGCAGTGGCTCCTCAGCAGGCCCCAAAACGGCCCAAGAAGGCCTCCAGACTGCCCAAAAGGCTCAGCCAGACGCCTCAAGATAGCCTAAAGAAGGACACACCGAATTGACATTTCGAGCCCTACTCCCAAAGATGGTCCTGGACACTGCCACCGAGCCCCCAATACGCCGTCAAGACCCCCAGCCCCCAAGAGGCCCCCATGACGCCCATAAAGCTACAGAAACGCTCTCAAAAGCCCACTCCCAGACGCCCCATAAACTCTATCACCCCTGCGAGCTAGGATGCGCCATATGGCCCTGTATTCCGATCGACCTCGTGAACGTCACAACCCTTACGAACCCCATGATACTGATGACCGCTATGAGCCCTACGGCACCTACGAACCCAATGAGCCATACGAGCCCCATGAACCCTGTGAGGCCTATGAGCCCTACGCGCCTTCCAACAAGCCCCCGAAACCCTCCCATGTGAGCCCTATGAGCCCCATCTGCCCTACGAGCCCATGAGCTCAATGAGCTCCTGAGCCCTACGACACCTATGCGCCCGACGATCCTTACGAACCCTTCCCTACGAAACCTACGACCCCTGTCAGGGCTACGAGCCCTCAGCCTCAGCCTCAGCCCAGTTTGCCCTATGAGCCCTACGACCTGTATGCACCACATACGCTGACGAGCCCAACGCGTCTTACGACCCTGTAATCCTCACGACCTAATGCGCCTTCAACCCCTACGAGCCCCATGATGCTGGTGAACTCATAAGCCCTTCGACCCCTCCGAGCCCTATCACCCCTGCGAACCCTCTGAGCCCCATGAGCCCTGTGCGCCCTCCAAAAGGCCCCGAAGACACCTCCACTAGGAGCTCACGAGCGACCTTGCTCCCAAGTGTCCGCGGACGCGGCACCATCAGCCCACATGAGCTCGATGGGCCCGTAGAGCTTTGCGAACACATCGACGTCCTCAGTGCCGCGAGCCCTATCAGCTCCAATGGCCACTATGATCCCAATGAGCCTTATGGCCCCTACGAGCCCTATGAGCCCTACGCGCCCTATGGCCCCTCCGAACCCCACAAGCCCTATGACCTCTATGGGCTGTGCGAGCCGCATGACCCCGATGAGCCCTATGAGCCCTATGAGCTATGTGGGCCCTCTGAGGCCTATGTCGCTTGTGAGCCGATGACCTTATAAGCCCCGTGAGCCATGTGAGAACGACGAGCCTCATGAGACCTACGAGCCCAGTGAGCCCTGTAAGCCCTATGTTGCTTATGAGCCTCATCAACCTTGCGAGCCCTTTGAGCTCTATCAGCCCACGGGCCCTACGAGCCGCATGGCCCCAAGGAGCCTCCGCAATCCTATGAGCCATATGGGCCCCATGGGCCGTATGAGCCCTATGATCCCCACGACCCGTCATGAACCCCGTGAGCCTTATGAGCACGGTGGGCACAATGATCCCTACGAGCCCCATGAGCCTCATAAGCTCGATGAGCCCGCCAATTATGGGGCCCAAGAGCCCGTGACTTCTGTTTGGCCAAGGCCCCTACG